CAAAAGGTACTAGGCAAGATATTGTTAATGCTTCTCTCAATTCTTCTTATTTATGGTCTCATTGTCAACTCTTAGCGCTAACAAAGAATATGAGATTGCAAAGGCATGAAATAGGGCCCCAGATGCAAGAGTTGAAAGTTTTCTCAGATTGGGTTTTGGCAATTGGTGATGGTATCATTAATAACTCAGTTGATGGCAATGAAAAAGTCCAAATACCAGATGATCTTCTGATAAAAGACTCTGTTGATCCAATATCTGCAATTGTGGAAAGTACATATCCTAATTTTATCAATTGTTGCAAAGATATAGGATACCTCCAACAAAGAGCCATTCTTGCTCCAACTCTTGATATGGTAGAATCAATCAACGAATATATGATTTCACTCAATCATAGTCTTGAGAAATCATATTTGAGTTCCGATACAATTTGCTGCTCTGATCAGACTTATTCAGCATTGGAACATGTATACACACCAGAATTTTTGAATACTATTAAATGTTCTGGAGTTCCAAATCATGCTCTTACTCTAAAGGTAGGTGTTCCGGTGATGTTATTAAGAAATATTGACCAATCAGCAGGATTGTGTAATGGAACAAGGTTGATCATAACTAAACTTGGAAATCAAGTTATTGAACCCAAGGTTTTATCAGGACATATGGCTGGACAGAAAGTGTTTATCCCAAGAATGACATTGACTCCGTCTGATGCTAGAATTCCGTTTAAGTTCCAACGAAGACAATTTCCAATCGCTGTATCTTTTGCGATGACAATCAATAAAAGTCAAGGACAGTCATTGTCTCATGTGGGATTATTTTTGAAGAAACCTGTGTTTACCCACGGACAGCTATATGTTGCTCTTTCCAGGGTGACAACTAGAAAGGGATTAAAAATTTTGGTTTATGATGATGATGGACAAATAACTACTGCAACTACAAATGTAGTATTTAAAGAAGTTTTTCGGAATTTATTCTGACAATTGTTGAGGTGGTACGCTTCTTCTGTTTACTTTTAAATTATTTAACTACTAAGATTTTTGTTGTTGATGATGATGTCTTTTGGTTACATTGTTTTATTAGCATGTTGAAAGAAATCACGATCCGCTTGTGATGTTGGAAAGAGAACTTCTTGAGCTACAGTATGTACAAAAATAAAGTTAGCATTCTTTATAAATTTATACACATATGCTTTGGAATTAAGTTCTGAATTTCAGGTATTAAGGTTTTAACAGCTTTCTGCGTCCTGACTAAAAAATTCATATCTCTCTGCAGACATGTCAAAATCACGTTCCGCTTATGCCGTTAGAAAGAAGACTGTTGAAGCAACAATATCTACAAAAATCAGGTCCAAATTCTTTGTAGATTTATACAGATATTATTTTCAACTCAGTTATAAATTTCTGCAATTCTGATTTTTACAGCTTTGCACGCTCTAACTAAAAAATGTTTATCTCTCCAATGGCATGTCGAAATTGCGATCCGCTTGTGCCGTTGGAAAGAGGACTTCTGGAACTACAACATATAAAAAAATTAGACCATGATTCTCTGTTGATTTATACAGATATACTTTTAAATTCAGTTATATATTTTTGGTATTCCGCTTTTCACAGTTAGACTTGGAAAGAATATTGTCTGTATTCACGTTGAAACCACTTTTTGCTTGCGCCGTTGGAAAAAGAACTTCTGAAACTACATTACATACAAAAATATGGTGTAGGTTCTTTGTAAATTTCTACAAATATTATTTTAAACTCAATGCTGAATTTCTGTCATTTATGGTTCTATTTCTTTTCCTCTTATGAGTAGTTAAGACAAATATGTAGTTGGTCACTCCATGACCAATTGAACTTACTGTTGATGATTCAGCAATTCCATAAATAAATACATCTTCTTTTGAATTTACTACTTTTGTTGCTAGGATTGATGAACCAAATGGGAAAAGAGTTGCTGAGGTGATTCCAAAAACATTTGTAGGATTCAAATACAAAGAGTGTAGCATCTGAACTACCTACATCAACTCCTGATGAGTCAAATATTCTTCCTATTGAAACTACAGATGTTTTAGCAACACCAGCAACAGAAGAACAAGTTGAGATTGCATCCATAGCTAGAGTGTTGTTTGGTAGATCGTAGCAGCCTAATGAAGTAGGTGATTTAGGTGATGGTTCAGAGGAAATTGGAGCATTTGGTGCTACATCTAATCAGCCTAATGAAGTAGATGATCCAGATGTGCCTACATCTACTTCCAATGAGTCAGTTGTTCTTCCTATTGAAACTTCAAATATTTTAACAACGGCAGCAACGGAGGAGCAAGTTGAGATCGCTTCCACGGCTGAAGCATTGGTTGCTAGATCCAAACAGGCTAATGAAGTAGGTGATTTAGGTAGTATTTCAGAGGAAATTGGAGCATTGGTTGCTGCATCCAAGGAGCCTAATCAAGTAGCTAGGTGATTTAGGTGGTAGTTCAGAGGAAATTGGAGCTTTGGTTGTTGCATCCAAACAGCCTAATGAAGTAGGATTTTGAGGTTTATGTAATACTTTTCTTGCAAAGTTTGATAAACCAATTGGGAAAAGAGTTGTTACCATGATTTCTGAAATATTTAATAGGTATGTTTTACTTTTGGAAAAAAATATAATCTATTTTTAATTCTTTGAAATTGTTATATCATGAACTGGTGCAAATATATTTTGCTATAACTTGCTGTAACAGTACTTCTTACATTTCAAGAGACTCATGTTGATGAAAAAATACTGAATGTCTTCTAGAAAAGATGTTTCAATGTGGTATTTCATCAACTGAATAATGTGAATTTTACATTAATTAAAATCTTGTCCAGAGAAAAGAAAATTATGGCGGTTTACATCTGTCACCAATCAGGTACAAGTGTGATAGTTCGACAGGTGAATCGCATGTGACCTGAACCTTGCGCTCCTGACTTAGAATCATAACTTGATTGATGACCACTGTAACAACTTCGCCAAGATTGAACTCACAAGAGTTCATTTCCATACAGCTGAAAAAAAATACTGCAATAATAAGGACTGGTCAAAAATATATACAGATAACAAATATCGGATACCTCTCCAAGACCAGATCTAACACATCTAATATATGCTAAATGATTCAATAGATGCAAATTAGTGTGACATTAAGATGCCATAGTGCAACAAACTCAAACATTATCATGAACTGCACTGTCTATTAATCATGGATTCCAGCGTGTATTATCATATATGGTTTACTAACAGCTACTTCAGATTACTTTCCTGATTAACAGTACAAATTTTCACATTTTAAGGTAGCAATCATCCATCGAATTAACGTCATGGATCCCTCACACTGTATATTCCTGCCTCAACTCTAACTTCTTGCTAACCCATGAGCTTACTCCTCCTGCTCTTTCTTCCTTTGCTAAGTGATGGTAAATCAAGTTATTTAATTGATGCATCACCATATATGTTTCCTTAAGAAGACTTTGACTAATCAAACACTAAACATTTGATTTTTCGATTATACTCTTATTGATTAACAATATAGGCTTTAGGTAAAATGTGAGTTGTTATGAAAAATAAATGTATTGGTTTTGAAAAAAATGTAAATAGCCAAAATTAAATAAAAATATATTTGGATTAGGATTGTAGTTCAAAATTCCATATCTATTAGAATTGCGCTGTATTTCAAAATTCCCCGTTATTAGGAATATGTGAAAAACCGTTCAACATTCCCTTCAAGTTTCTGAAATTTTAATTTTTTTAATTATTAAATGATTTTATATTTTTATTTTTTTTAACAAACACCTCACGTCCCTTATACCCCCCCACGATTTCCAACTCCCACACAACACTCCTCACGTCCCAACCCTATCCTTCACGTCTCCCTTAACAAATCCTCCCCACTTCTCCAATATAATAATCCCATCATATATAAAAGGACACAAAAAGGGTGGGGTCAGAAGAAGAAAAAATGAGAGAAAAAAGAAAAAGAGAGGAATGTCCCACAATATTAGGTAAACATTCTCTCTGCAAAATCACGATAGCCTCAACTGTCTAACCCACGATTGACTATACTGTGTACCAACTGCTCAAAACTACAAATATATATTTCTTCCACAACTACAGGTACTTTTTTAATAAGCCTGTATCATCAACTGCTTTCTCTTCAATAGACGGCTCTACAACTTCTCACAACTACGCCAATTACGACTCAATTTGACATGGAAGAAGAGAAGAAACTAGCCAGAAAAAATCTAATGGATATACGAAAGCATAAACGACCTAAATTTTCTCCCGATAACAACGGTATGAACTTTAATCCACTGTTTGCAGATTTGCGATTTGCATAACTGTTGCTTACAGAGGGTATCTTTTGTTCACTTGCTTCAAATACTCCATATTTTCTACTTCATCTTCTTTATCTCTGATTTTCCTTGGGCTAATTAACAAACGTCATTCTTTATAATTATCATGGATATTGGATGGCTCAAAAGCTCTATAAATGTTCATCATAGACTTGCATAAGTTATTAGTTAAGTAAATTTTATGTGATCTATTGGAATTATTATTTTTGTTGCAATATGGACTGATATCCTTCTACAGTAATTGTGATATATGTTGTCACATTGAGTGGTTGTAGCCATTCTTATTGTTTCCTTTGTCCTATTTCAGATATGGCTGAACAAGGACAAGTTCGAATTACTCGAAGTGGGAGTTCTCGAAGTCAAGGAAGGGGACAACGTAGAAGGGTACGCCGTCGCAGGACTTATTCCTATAATGATTCTGACTCGGAGCCTGAAGTCATCAGGAATGTCCCAAGGCCGAGGAAAATAAGTTAAGGGATCGAAGGCTGAACGAAGGAAAGAGAAAAGAAATTTAGAGAGCTTAGGGCTTTACTAGCTGAACATATTGGAAATTATCAGTTTATCCGAGATGCACTAATTGATGCTATTGACGAAATTAAACTATCTGATTGGGAAGCCTTAGAAATTTTAGTAGATTCACTTGGACAACCTTTAGGTAAGTATTTTAACTGAAGTTTATCACGAGGTTTGGCCAAGTGAACCTTTTTGGGTTTATGTTTTAAATTTGAGCTGAGTGGGAGAACCGTCTCTACAACTACTTATAATTTGTTTAATTAATGAAACTTTGTTTATTTGTTTGCAAGATTACCTGTCATTTTACTCTTGATTTTTCTTTAGAGTATTAGATAAAGAACATAAAGGAATAATAGTAACTTATTCCTTCAATATTCAACTTTAACGAATATCCAATGTGTTTAAAAGAGGATAAACATGAAGAGACAGATTCTTTACGCTCTTTACTGGATTATATATACTCCTCATGTAAAGTAATACTTTACAATTTGTTTTTGCCTCTTTTCAAATCAAAAATTAATGAGGAATCTATCTATATTTAGGTAGTTAACAAATATGAATTCATCCAAAGTATACTTGCAGTAGAGTATTACTTTATAAATGAAAATTTTAACTTCACTTATGTTCCTTTCGGTGGTATTCAAGTGTTGATAGATATTTATATGTTCCAGTCGAGGCAGTCGTTGGGGCAGTAACGTAGAAAAATAATATGGTAGCAACTATCTTATGATTGAAACTTTGTCAACTAAATTTTCTTTTCTTCTCAATATAAGATGATTAACCATCTGTTAGTTCATTATTGGTAATTTTTGTTCTTAGGGAATGTCATGAGTGCAAAAATAATTTGATCAATCCGCGCATAGCGCGGGTACGATTACTAGTATCCTTTAATGGAAAATGTTGAGGTTTTTTTATTAATAGGATCACATATATTTTTTCTTAGTGAACTGGCAGTCGATAGATCCAATTTGAAGACAAAATGTTCATATTTGAATTGAGAAGTGTGGGTTGCCATAAAATACCAATCATTACAAGAATTCATCCTTTTAGGATGGATTTCCAAATAAGGAAAAGCGTTGATTGAATTTTTTTATTGGCATACTTATTAGGAGATGAGGTTTGAGTCCAGGGGTGTTTTGTGTTTTTTTAAACAGCCTCCAAAAAGACCTGTTAGTAAGACAATATTTTTGGAAAAGCTTTATGAATTGCCTAGGCCTCCTTTTTGTTTACTTCTTAGTGACGGTATTCCAGGTTCACTAAATGGAATTTTCTTGAGGTGCTAGTGCTCCCCCAATGAAATTCCTTTGTATCTTATGCATTTGTTTTATGATTTTACCTGGTAGATAGGTGTATTTGCATAGAGTAAAGCAGGGATAGATTTAGAATGCTAGTTTGCAAGAGTTGTTCTACACGCCATATTTAAATGGAACATTTTCCGTGAGACATTTTGTTATGAAGTCTGTCAATTATGAATTGGAAAGTCTTAGGCTTCGGACTATGATTTTAGAATTGGTAATCCTAGATATTTTTCAAAATCATAGTAATCTTCATTCCAAAATGAGTTTGAGAAGTAGGTAAATATGAGGATGGACATAGCTTTGGGAGGATTATTTTTTTACTTAGTAAAATTGATGGATAGAGCCTGATTGAGAGCAGAAAAAAATCCATAACTAGATTTTATGCCAATTTTCTTTTTTTTTTTTGTTGCCTTACCGCAATTAGGGTGATATCAATGTCCCAAATAGAACATGGGAAAAAAAAAAAGACGGACTTCTTGAGGATTTTTATTTCCAATTTAAAAATGGTCTGTTTGATAATTTTGATTTTGGAGCAATTCTATGACAAAGATGAATATGTAGGGTGATAAGGGGTCTTCTTGGCGGATACTCACTTGGAAGACTAAAAAACTGTGGTTTGCCCGTTAACGAGGATTCCCATAGAGCTGGTACTAATGCAGCTGCATAATTAATTTAGTGATTTTTG